ATGTTACTGCCCCGTAGTTTGTAGTTTACAGAGCGAAGAGAAACATGTATCTCATGTAATTCTGATAATCTGACATAAACAGTCTTTTATATAGTAAAATCAGCATATTGTGGAAACGTCTGTCACTTAACGAAGTGAGGTTAACTTTTTCAAGGAACTGGTCATAAGAGGAGCTGTAATAACTAAGGATAAACCTAAGTATGCGTTTATTCAGAGCCTTTAACTTTTCAGTATTACGTGGTTGCAGTAATGCCAAAATCTAAAGCAGTGGTAAAATTGTGGTAAGATGACGGTCTTGTAGAGTTTCAACATAGTTTTACCGGAAATAAGTTTAGGGAAGTTTATGCAGTCTTAACATAACATTGAACTGATTGTTCATCTTCTTGCAGATAGTAGCTATATCATTATCGAAACTGAGTTCCTTGTCTATATTATTGTCGAGTTATGTTACTTTTTACAACACAGCACTGGCTCTGTCACTTGAAGGTTTGCTTTTTTACCCTTTTCTCTTGTCTCTGATGATCAGTCTGTCCACGAAAAACAGCTGAAAGACCAACAAATGTATAAACAATATCAACAACAACACTTTGTTTATTCACGTTTCACCTAGGAGTTAACTAAGCTCGATCAAAATAAGCACGTGTATGCATAAAGTATGCAAAAAGTAAGCAGGCTTGTGTTCTGTCAACTTAGTCAGTATCAAACAATTATGTATAGATTAGATTCTCCGAAATTTAGTTAATCGTTTTATAAAAAATCGACCTTAGTGTTGTTACATATTTAATCGTATCTATAACAAAATTCTTGATCGTAATTGGTTCTCCGTGCGCCTAATTTGAACTTTTTGTAATTGGATACCTGTAATTAGATACCCACGTGATTCGCACGTCAATTACGCGCGATTTAATGGCTTCTTTCGCAATGTTTCCTACAGCTTTCAAAACTCATGAAAAGCGCTACAGACGTTTTTACTCAAAATAATTTCTCAAAAGACATTTTTAATTCTGCTCGTCCGATTTTGAAATTACTTGCGCGATTTCTCCCTGAATTGCACTCCACTCGGTCCAATTACCATCACTAACCATCTCGCCCGCAGATAAATCTACATCACATGTGTGGACAAGCAAAAGCGTTAAGTTTGAGGTTACGTGATTTAATAATAATAATAATAATAATAATAATAATAACGGAAGTAATTAGTTTATTTAATGTCAATAACATGGGGAATACTAGCTAAATTAAAAATGCTTTACAGGGATAATAATCATAATATGCCAATAAAATGTAAGGGGTTAAGAGTGTGCTTAACCCTCGGGCGTACAAGCTAACTCATACCCCCCGCCGTGGCACAAGGGAGATGGATGGAAACCCTCCCCTTTGTTTTCTTTCTGTTAAGGCACAGCGAACTAAATTTACATTGATTAGATGGCCATGAGCTTGCTCTACCAGATGATACCATTCTTGTTGTTTACGACTTCATATGATGCTAAATGACCTCATTTGACTCATCTTCTTGGATCCGCCATCTTAGATTTCGCTATTTTTTTAAAAAGACAAAAAGTATCGGAAATTAATGCAAAATATAGCCAGAATGCTTCTGAAATGTACAAATTAGTTAATTTGTATGTCCATAATTTATTGTATGTCCATCAAAAATCATAGACATACAATTGACCTATCAAAATCTTGTAAGTCTGAGGGTAATAAACTGACTATGTAAGAGGTGACATAGAAGAAGAATTAGGCAGAACGTGTCTATTAAAAGAATTCTGTTTGATATTGTGGCAACTATCTCTCAGATTGTACATGGATGGTGTCACTCGATGCTCAAGATGAGCCAGGTTATTGTATTTGACACTGAGAAAAATTAAGATTGGTTCTAATCATCCTTATCCTGAAGCGCAGATAGAGGAATTTTTTTAGATAGTCTTACAGTAATGGTCTGTCCCTTGAATGTCCAACAAAGTTCGTAACCCATAGCAGCTGGCATTTTCGAACTCTTTGTCAAGGGCACCACTGATTCCAATTAGTAGGGGCTACAGTACTCGAGAAAAAATAAGCCTTAAATCTTGTATGGTCATTCCCCTCATTGAAATCACATTTATACATATTTTGAAATTTAAATAATCAAACAATCTTATCTTTTTGAAATCATTCAGCTTGATAAAAAACTTCTCGTCAAAATATTGAACAATTCCTAAGGACCTTTAGTTGAAAAAAAAGGAAGCCATCCTTTCAAGGACTCCGTACCTTACTTTCCAAAATCAAATGTCACGTTATCTCCAATCAGTACAAAAGGCGCCCACTGCTTCACGTCACAGTAGCCGTTACATCTCATCCATTCCATGGCCTGGTGAAGACAGTAACTAGCGCTTTCCCCGCGAACAAGGTGATCGTAGAAATGACTCATTAACTGCTCTGTTGCGCTGTCTTCTATGGCCCACAGTGACACCAACACTGAACGTGCACCAGAGCCTAAAAATGCTCGAGCAATTCCGACTGCTCCCTCGGCTTTAATCCGACCTCGTGCACTGTGGCAGCAGCTTAGGACTACGAGTTTAGCTCGAAGATGAACTTTAGAAATGTCGGACATTGTCAATAAGTAGTCTTCTTCTCGAGGTTTCTTCTTGGGAAATGACGGTGCAAGAGCAATTTCGCCTCTCTCTGCATCACCGTGAGCAGCAAAGTGTATCAGACCCACTGAATTCATCGCTTGAAGTACTGCCTGCTTAGTGGCCTGCTTTCCTAGCAAGGGTTCTACACCCAGCTTTTTTCCTACCATCTTCGCTTCCTCTTCTGCATAAGGCAAACGCGAAATGACCGTGAGACATCCTTTGAAAAGAACCTTGCCAACTTCAGGATTTCCGACTATCAGTACACCGGTCTGACTGTGATATTCTGCTGGACTGTCATGGATGAGCCTGAGAGTTGTTAAAGAAGGAGCGACGCGGATCTTGAAAGTCTCAGATAAGACCTTTCCGCTTTCATTAGGTAACGCGACAAATGGAATGTTGTATAAAGAACGATCAGGAACAATGATGATTTCAGGGCCCTCGAGCAAGTCGGCCACAGGGGCGAAGATTAGTTTGTAACACAAAGGAAGATTCATTTTGGGTCCTTTGTTATTTTTACTTTCATTTCCAATTCGCAAAGCTTCATGGTTTTCATCCTCGCATGAATTGCATTTCTCTTGTATGACATCTAAAGATCGGTCTTCGCATAGTGCTTCTGGTACAATGCCAAAACTTCTAAAACTTTCGCTTGCAAATAAGTCATCCAAAGTTTGACAAAATCCTTCTTGAGCAATAATTTCATTTCCTTTGATCGTTCGGAAATGCTTGATTCGGCTTGCTTTAAGAACCCAGAAGTATATGCTGTCCCGAGAATAACAGAGATATAGACAAGAAGAATTACGTTCTTTGTCCATGATGCTTTCAATATCAGCCCATGTTTTCGGATTAGCGGTGACTTGATTCTTGACAGAGTACTGAACTGACATCAAATCTGCTAAAGCCCTGGCCTTCTTCAGCTCTGAAACATACAAAGCTGCATTGGAATTTCCGGTTTCACAAAGCAATGAGCAGAGATCCTGGTAGGAACAGATATAGCGATCCGAAAACGATAATTTGAATTCATCGTTGTCTCGTAGGGAGCCCCGCATTTCCTCGCATTTTTCAATACCGGCAAGGAAGTACGTAATAGACTCCTGGATCTTTCTTGCTTGCATTCGTACGTATGCCAGAGACTGCAGCGATCGAAACTGGGTCTTAACATGTCCAATATTCTCACTTATTGCAAGCGCATTCTTAATATATTCTTCAGCCCGAGCACACTCACCATGTTTCAATAGCACATTTCCTAAGTCTAAACAAAGTTGTGCTTCTCCACTTCGGTCTCCAATTTCTTTACTGATTGCAAGTGCTGCCTTGAGATGTTCTTCATCCTTGATAAAGTCACCAATTGATGAAAAGACAGCTCCTTGGACGCCGTGGAGAAAGGCTTCCTCTCGTCTGGCTCCAATTTCTCTTGTAATGACAAATCCTTCTTGATTATATTGATTAGCCTCATCATATTTACCAACAGAAAAATAGAAAGCTCCAAGTCGTTGGCAAGAAAAAGCTTCTCCAGGTCTGTCGCAAATTTTTCTCGTAATCGCCAATAGTTTCTTGAAAAAAATTTCAGCTTTCTCATATTCACCAACTGACTGATATACTGCTCCAAGCATTCCGTAACAGGAGGCTTCCCCTCTCCTGTCACCGATCTCTTTGAAGATCGCAAGTGATTTCTCAAGATATTCTCTAGCCTCGTCATATTTGCCAACTGATTCATACACAGTTCCAAGGTTTCCATAGCACTCGCATTCTCCTATTCTGTCCCCAATTTCTTTGTTGATAGCAAGTGAAGTCTCAAGATGTTTTATAGCCTTGTAATATTCGCCAACTGATTGATACACTGCAGCAAACTTGACGTAACAGGAGGCTTCTTCTTTTCTGTTACCAATTTCTTTACTGATCGCAAGCGATTTCTCCAGATGTTCTCTGGCCATGCTATATTCGCCGACTGAATGACACACAGCTGCAAGATTTTGGTAGCAGGAGGTTTCTCCTTTTCTGTCACCAATTTCTATCACCATTGCGAGTGATTTCTCGAGATGTTCTTTCGCCTTCTTATACTCGCCAACTGATTCATACACAGCTCCAAGGTTTTTGTAACAGATGGCTTCTCCGTTTCTGTTACCAATTTCTTTCTTGATAACAAGCGATTTTTGAATATGCTCTCTAGCCTTTTCATATTCGCCAACAGTTTGATACATAGCTCCAAGGCTTTCGTAACAACAGGCTTCTCCATTTCGGTCACCAATCTCTTTCCGGATTGCAAGCGATTTCTTGAGATGTTCACTAGCCTTGTCGTAATCGCCAACTGATTGATAGAAAGCTCCAAGGTTTCCATAACAGAAGGCTTCTCCACTTCTGCTACCAATTTTTTTTGCGATTCCAAGTGATTTCTCAAGATGTTCTTTAGCCTTGCTGTATTCGCCGACCGATCGATACACAGCTCCAAGGTTTCCGTAGCAGGAGGCTTCTTCAGGTTTGCCACCAACTTCTTTGCTGAAAGCAAGCGATTTCTCGAGATGTTCTCTAGCCTTGCTATATTCGTGGACTGAGTGATAAAAAACACCAAGGTTTGCGTTGCAGAAAGCTTCCCCTACTCTGTCACCAACTTCTTTGAAAATTGCAAATGACTTCCCTAAATGTGTTTTAGCCTTTTGATATTCGCTTACTGAGTCATACACCATTCCAAGGTTTCCGTAACAGGAGGCTTCTCCAGCTCTGTCACCAATTTTCTTGTAAATAGCAAGTGACTTCTCGAGGTTTTCTCTAGCCTTGGCATATTCGTCAACTGATTTATACACAGCTCCAAGGATTGCGTAGCAAGTGGCTTCTCCTCTTCTGTCACCAATTTCCTTTTGGATCGCCAGTGAATTCTCTAGGTGTTCTCTAGCCTTGTCATATTTGGCGAGTGATCGATACACGCTTCCAAGGTTTTGGTAGCAGGCAGCTTCTCCATTTCTGTCTCTAATTTCTTTTCGGATTGCAAGTGATTTCTCAAGAAGTTCTCTAGCCTTGTCATATTCGCCTACTGATTGATACACAGTTCCAAGTTTTCCATAACATGAAGCGGTTTCTCTTCGGTCACCAATTTCTTTTTGGACTACAAGTGATTTTTTAATATGTTCTCTGGCCTTTTCGTATTCGCCAACGGAGTGATACACAGCTCCAAGGTTTCCGTAACAGGAGGCTTCTCCATTTCTGTTACCAATTTCTTTGTTAATTGCGAGTGATTTCTGGACGTGGTCTCCAGCCTTGTCATATTCGCCAACTGAATGATACACCGCTCCAAGGTGTGCATAGGAAGAGGCTTCTCCATTTCTGTCACCAATTTCTTTTTGCATCGCAAGTGATTTCTCGAGATGTCCTTTAGCCTTGCTGTATTGACCAACTAATTGATAGACAGCTCCAAGGTTTCCGTAACAGCGGGCCTCTCCATTTCTGTCACTAATTTCTTTGTTGATCGCAAGTGATTTCTCGAGATATTCTTTAGCCTTGTTGTATTCACCAACTAATTGATACACAGCTCCGAGGTTTCCGTAACAGACGGCTTCTCCATTTCTGTTACCAATTTCTTTGTTGATTGCAAGTGATTTCTCAAGATGGCCCTTAGCCTTGTCATATTCACCAACTAATTGATACACAACTCCGAGGTTTTCGTAACAGGAGGCTTCCCATATTCTCTCACCGATTTCTGTACTGGCTAGAAGCGTTTTTTCAAAGACTTCTCTTGCTTGTACGTATTTACATAGACGGAGATACATTTTCGCTAGTTTAAAGCTGATCATACATTCGAATTTGTCGGGTCTTTCTCCACTTTCACGGCATATCTGGAGACATTTTGCTGCGTATTCTATGGCATTTATGTCGTCATTAATGATAATATAAGCGTCCAACATTGTCGAGTAAATCCCCTTGAACACTAATTTGGCTAAATTATGGTCTTTGATGCCCGCTTTGTCTTTCCAGATGACCAAGCATTCCCTGCGTATTTCGATACTTTTAAGAACTCGATTGGTGTTGAGAAGAAAGTCAGCAACTATGAGGCCGACAAAGATGGCTTGTATAATTTCTGCTGTGTTGTCCATGTTAAACGCTTCTGTCAGGATAAAAGACAGTTAAAGTGGAAACAAATTTGAGGTTTTTGCTGTTGGTTTTGATAACCTTGAGAAAATGTATTTTATATTACAATTCCGCAGCTTTCAATAAATTAAAACTAATCGATCCCTTCTTGACGCAACTAAATAATTGTAGCTATGGGAAATGTTGACTTTGTTTAGAAATGGATAAAGACAATCTAAAAAGTTTGCAGTCAGAAACTATTTTAGGAAAACATAAACAAGCGAATATAAAGGTTAAGAGCCGACGTTTCGTTGTCATCGTGACACCATTCTCAAGGCAAAGTGAATAAAGTCATCCGAAGATTTGACTTTGATAGTTTGCAGTCTCTAAAAATTATTAATTAGGCAATCAAATTTGTTCGAGCATTTAGCAAGCACGTGAAACAGTTCTGGAAGACAAGTAGGTCCTTTCGAATTCCAAGTAATGTTTACCAATGGCCATCAACGTGTTCGTGGAGGTGGTCGCGAGTGTAACCAACATACCCTGCATCACACAGGTTACATTGAAATTTATAAACTAGGCATTTTTGGTTAACAGTGATTGATTGAAATCCTTTTCATGAGAAAACATAAACCATCTCTAAACGTAGAAACGGATGGGTGTTACTAAACAGGGGTAACGAAGTAACGAGAAACCGAGCAACGGGAAAAAAATTTCAAAGGGTATAAACTTACAAAATCTTTTAAAAATGCGAAGAAACGATTATAATCGATTTTATAGTATTGATGAATAAATAATAACTACAAAAACTATTCAAAAAGCAAGCTTGGAGAGTGGTGGTGTTTTCTGCAATTTTATTTAATAAACCCATAAGCTCAAAAATAAAAGTTCAAGAAAATCGCTGTGGCTAAATAACCTGCAGTCGCTCAAGGTCTTCAAAACACTAATTGATCGGCGATCCGAGTGTTTTTAATTAATTAGAAATTAATTTTAAAATTCAAGGAAATAAAAAGACCTTAGCCGATCCAAACTATGATATGTCGATTAAGAAGTGCTAAGCGATTCACATGACTCCAAGGTATCAGTAACGCTGCACATAGAATACGAAGCCAATATGAGTTATGAAACCTCACAAAAAAGGTGCATCCCGCAAGGTTTCCAAAAAAATTAATTTAATTGTTTTAGTTCTAGTAAGTCATGTTTTAGATTGGCGAAGTTCTTTTGAGTACGTGAGATCAGATCAGACCAAGGCACTAGCATCGTAGGAGCAGAGAGAGAACTAAAGAAAGCTTTAGACGAGCTGGACCATAGCGCAATCCAAAGGAATCTTTGCAGAGACTTCAATGCTGATTGGATTATCCAATGGAAACAGAACCCTCCGGCAGCGTCCCACATGGGTGGCGTTTGGGAGCGCCAGATACGGTCTGTCAGATCAATTTTGTCTGCATTGATACGAGAACACGACCACACCCTCGACGATGAGTCCTTTATAACCCTGTTAACCGAGGTAGAATGCATCATCAACAGTCGCCCGCTCACTGTCCCGTCAAGCAATCCCGAGGATCTGGATCCACTCACACCAAATCACATACTGACTATGAAGTCAAGGGTTGTCATGCCTCCGCCAG